CAGCAGCAGCAGCAGCAGCAGCAGCAGCAGCCCGAGCAGCAGCAGCAGTGACGCCGGTGGTGCCGGCGGCCCGGGCGGCGAAGAGTCCGGCGACCCAGGTGGGGACGGCGGTAGCGATGGTGATCCCGGCGACTCCGAGAACCTCGAGGAGTTGAAGTATGATCCAGCCGACGACCGCTACCCCCACGGGCTAGAAGGGAAGAAACTCCTCTGTGGCGCCTGGAACGCTGGCCCGCTGCGCCATGGGCTTGAGAGTGGCCGCACGCGGAAGCAGACCCGGGAGATGCAAGGTGCCGGGGAGATGCCGGGGCCCGGAGAAACATCGTACCCGGAAGAGGCACTGCTGGCGACCATCCTGGAAACTGGCGGGACGGGGATTGTTGAGGACTACATGTGCAACTCGCTTGTGAAGGAGCAGTGGGACGAGGAGCAGACACGCCGTATGGAGGAGATGTACAGGCGCGAGATGCAGGAGGTGTTGGGCCCGGAACAGCAGGCGTTCGGGGCCGAGGTCGACGCCAGCGGGTCTTTGCAACCACTCCCAGACCCACAGCTAAGTATGACCTAGCCAATCGGGCAGAAGCCGAGTGATGTGGAAGCAGTACCGATGACGTACAAGGATGTGAGGTGTTCCGGGTGCAAGGTTTTTTGTGAGGCGGCCATGAAGAAAGAGATAGATGGCAACGACAAGACTGGAACCTTTACCAAGGTCAAGGAGCCGCCCCTGGCCATAGGTTCAAAGTGGGTGTTCTCTTGGAAGACGAATGAGAACGACCTGATGGTCGACTTCAAGGCCCGTATGGTTGCGCGGGGTTTCTCTCAAATCCCCAGCATCGACTTCCACCACTCATCCTCAGCGTGCCCGTCTGCAGCGTCTATCAAGACGGTGATTACCGTAGCCAGTGAAAAGGGCAAGAAACTCGCTCACTGGGATGTGAAGCAAGCGTACATCCACGCTAAGCTAAAAGAAGGATTATACCTCAGGTTCCCGGAAGGCTGTGGTAGTATGTCCGGCAAAGTGGTCAAGGTTGAGCGTGCCCTGTATGGCCTAAAGCAGAGTGGCCATGAGTGGGGGTTTGAAGCTGCTGATGCCCTCATCGAGAATGGATACGAGCAGTGCAGGGTTGACCCGTGTGTCTTCCGGAAGGTGGTGGATGGAGAGGTCGTAGGTCTCATCGTGATCTACGTTGATGACATCTTNAAGGCCCGTATGGTTGCGCGGGGTTTCTCTCAAATCCCCAGCATCGACTTCCACCACTCATCCTCAGCGTGCCCGTCGGCAGCGTCTATCAAGACGGTGATTACCGTAGCCACTGAAAAGGGCAAGAAACTCGCTCACTGGGATGTGAAGCAAGCGTACATCCACGCTAAGCTAAAA